AAAAAAAAAAAAAGGCCGGGTGTCTCACTCCTGTGATCTCAGCACTTCGGGAGGCTGAGGCAGTTGGATCACGAGGTCAGGAGTTCGAGATCAGCCTGGCCAACATGATGAAACCCTGTCTTTAAGAAAACTCAAAAAAATTAGCTGGGCTTGGTAGCAGGCACCTGTAATCCCAGCTGCTTGGGAGGGTGAGGCAGGAGAATCGCTTGTACCGGGGAGGGGGAGGTTGCGGTGAGCCGAGATCACACCACTGCACTCCAGCCTGGATAACAGAGAAAAGAAAAAAGGCTGGGCGCAGTGGCTCAGGCCTGTAATCCCAGCACGAGAGGCTGAGGTGGGCAGATCACAAGGTCAGGAGATCGAGACCATCCTGGCTAATACGGTGAAACCACGTCTCTACTAAAAATATAAAAAAATTAGCTGGGCATGGTGGCGGGCACCTGTAGTCCCTAATACTTGGGAGGCTGAGGCAGGAGAATGGCGTGTACCCAGGAGGCAGAGCTTGCAGTGAGCCAAGATCGCGCCACTGCACTCCAGCCTGGGTGATGGAGACTCCATCTCAGAAAAAAAAAAAAAGAGAGACCAGCCTGACCAACATGGAGAAACCCCGTCTCTACTAAAAATACAAAAACATTAGCTGGGTGTGGTGGCACATGCCTGTAATCCCAGCCTGGGCAACAAGAGTGAAACTCCGTCTCAAAAAAAAGAAAAAAAAAAATTAAAAAAAAAAGAAAAAAGAAATAGCAGAAGCTGGGGACTGTGACTTCCTTGGAAGGAGCTGCCCATCCTCTTCCTTTTCTTTCTCTCAGCTTTCTTTTCGGCCTTTCAGCAAGGAATTGCTTTATGTAAACTAAAATGTGTGAGAAAAAGGAATTGTCTTTTCGCCTAATCATAAATTAGTGATGTTTCCCTGGTGCCAGGGATTATGTTCAGTTCTTGGAGACTTAACGTTAGCTTGTCCTTAAACTCTGAGCTGATGAGTTGTGATATCTACCCATTTGAAAGGCCAGGACCGAGTCCTGATGGGATTCCTGTGGGGGCAGTTGGCACATGGCTGGTACGTTGGGATAGGGGTGCTGTAGCTGGGTATTCTCTACTTGTAGTGTTCGGTTTGAGGGTTCCTGGTGCCCTAACTTTGTGGGGATCTGTCCGGCCGCCTTTGTTGAGGTCAGCTTGCCATATACTTCCCCTTCTGGAATGTGAAGAATGTTTGGTTTCAGACTGCTCCTCCGCACTGATCCCAGACAGGATAGGAAGTTGGACAGATAGAACTGACTCCTCCTGCTGTTCTCATGTAAGACTAGCTTGCTTCTGGGTCTTGTGCCCGTGGCCCCTGCCTTAGGAGCAGTCATAACCGTTTGGGTCTTCTTTGAGCCCTATGTTAGCCCTGTGGGGTTCTGGACCCTCACATTATAAGGTGTCAGACATATGCCTCTGAATGAGTCCTCCACGTCTAAGGTCACCCCTCTGTCCCAGCAGGTATCACGAGTGGATGAAATCAGAGGAGCTGCAGCGTTTGACAGCCTCAGAGCCGCTGACCCTGGAGCAGGAGTATGCCATGCAGCGCAGCTGGCGGGAAGATGCAGACAGTGAGGAGTGCCCCCCACTCCCCCTAGCCCTGGTACTGGGAGGGCCGATGCACAGTCAGTCTCCAGGTTCCCTCCCTTTTCCAGTCCCGCTACAGAAACTGTGTGAAAAGCCTGAAAGGTGCTGGAACTCCTGTATTCTCATGCCCCTGAAGCCAGTCCCTGTGGCTGACCCTTCTGTCCTCTTCCCCACGCACTGCGTTGGGCTTGGAAGGATTTAGAGAAAGTAGAGCATCTGGGGCTCTGGCTGTAAATTTCCGCCCTGCCCCTCACACCCCTCACCACAGCCTAGTGTGGTGACCGTGCTCCTCTGTCTTCCCTGCTGTCTTAGAATTTGGTTGCTGGTTGGAGAGGCTTTTTCTGTAGGAGGCAGATTTGGAGTTTTGTAATGAGCTGAAGGAAGCTCTGGGACCCCCTCTTCTCCTGGCAGACTCAGATATGCTGGTCTGCAGTGCTCTGGTTTGGGTAGGAATACCATCCTCTCTTCTGTCCTCTGGGAAGTGTGTGTGATAGCCCTGTCACCTCCTCCTCAGAGTGTACCTTCATTGTGCTGGATGCCGAGAAGTGGCAGGCCCAGCCAGGCGCCACCGAAGAGAGTTGCATGGTGGGAGATGTGAACCTCTTCCTCACAGATCTAGAAGACCCCACCTTGGGGGAGATCGAGGTCATGATTGCAGGTTTGTTTCACCTAGCCCTGCCTTCCCCCAACTCTTGGCTGTCAGATATGCTGGCCCTGAGCCTGCAGAGGCCGCATAGGGTGGGCACTCACAGGGCTCACTGGGAGGCTCCATGTTGGTGAGCCCAGGGCCTGGCTGGGCAGCCTGCCTACCTAGCCCCCCTCAGCCTGGTGGTACACCCACAGGCACATCACTTTACTCCTTGTGCTTAGGCGTGAACTTAACCCTTGGTATGGGGTATATTCAAGGATGGTCAGTCCCATACTTGGGGTGGGCTGGGGACCCTCAGAAAATAAATGGTCTTCTCTGG